CTGCGATCGTGAAGGGCTGGGATGTTGTGCATCGCGTTCGCGAGGTGGACCGCATTCGCATAGAGGAAGTTGAGTAACTGGGGTTCAGGGTGTTTTGTTCATCGCGTTCGCGAGAGAGGGAGCGCGTTCGCAAAGGGTTAGGATGAGGAACCATCGCATTAGCGAGGGTCTGGTTGCGTTTGCGTAAGAGGATTTTTGGTCAAAGTTACTTTGTGTTTCGCGAACGCGAGGCGTTGACCGCGTTCGCGATGAAGGAATTGAGGCCTGGGCAGAATGTTTAAATAGTCATCTTGTCCGCGATTTTGGGGTTAACCCACCAATTCGGAGCAATTTTGGAGCTTTTTGAATAGGATTGAAGAGGGATTCAAGGGAAAACGCTTGGAGGTAAGATTCATGGACTTAATACTCGATTCTAATGTGAATTCTACCTAATTAATCATTGAAATTAAGCCTAATATTGAAGAACTAGAGCTTGAAATTGGAGACCTAGAATTTGGGATTTGAGGGGTTATTTGTGATTGAATTTTGATGCTTTTAGTATGAATGAACTCGGGGAGTGATAAGGAGTCCATTGGTGTAAAATTTTATCGGAATCCGAGATGTGGGCCCGGGGGTCGGGTTTGGCCAATTTCGGGATTTGTGTTACAATTTAATTTCTTTCGAGTGGGCTTTGTTCCCTTAGCATATTTTGATAGTTTTGCACTGATTTTGGTTAGATTTGGAGCATCCGGAGGCCAATTCGAGGGGCAAAGGCATCGCGAGCTAGAGATTTGGACCGGATAGAGGTGAGTAATGATTGTAAATGTTGTCCTGAGGGTATGAAACCCCGGATTGCACATAGTTGTGCTATATTGAGGTGATGTACACGCTAGATGACGAACGTGGGGTCGTGCACTGTTGGGAATTATGACTTAGTCCATCCCGAATGATTGTTTTACCACGTATTTGATTGAAAACTGTTTGTTATCATCATGTTTTGGGCTGAATGTCATATTTGGGCCTCATGCTAACTATTTGAACCCTTAGTAGATTTTTACTAATATTTCCTTACTGTTTTGACTTTATACTTGTACTCAGTCATGCTATAGTCTACTGTTTTCATAACTCAGCCATGTCTACTCTGCTTTAACACTTAAAATGATATATTAAACGATATTTTGGGCTGAGCATCATATTTTATTGTTGCCCGAGTGGCTTGTGAGAATTTTGACTGAGTAAGGCCGAGGGCTCATGTTGTGAGGAAACACCTGATTATGGTTATGAGGCCGAGGGCTTGAGATTTGTACTCCACGAGGTGGCTTGTTGATATGAGGCCAAGAGCCTATGTGATTATGCCACGAGATGGCTTGATATTGCGCTTGGGCCGTAAGGGGCCCCTCCAGGAGTCTGCACACCCCGAGTGAGCGTGGGTACCTATTGTGATGTGAGATACAGCTCGAGGGGCTGGTTATTATTCCATGTGTTGCCCGAGGGGCTGGTTATTGTTCCATGTGTTGCCTGAGGGGCTGATTCTGTTGGTATTGTGTCCGAGAGGCATTTTTTTATTTGCTTACCTTTTATATTTGCCTGCCTTTTACTTGCTTAAATGTTTAAAAAGGGATTTTAAGAAGCTTAAACTGAACTAAAGTGACTTGCATATTTTCATTGTTTCATTACTTTTTACTAGCTTTTACTGCTTCTTATAGCCTGAGATGTGCCTTATGTGATTTCTTATTTCTCAGTCTTTATTTACGATTATTACTTACTGAGTTGGAGTACTCACTTTACTCCCTGCACCTCGTGTGCAGATTCAGGCGCTTCAGGTCCCGCTAGCGAGTGTTGATCCTTCCAGCTCAAGCGGATTCGGAGATTCTCTAGGTAGCTGCCGGCATTCGCAGCCCAAAGCTTCTTCCCTTATCTTATTTTCTCTGTCTTAGCTCTGTATTAGACTATGTAAACTCTTCAGACTGATAGTATGTTGATAGATGCTCATGACTGGTGACACCCCGATGTCGGGTTGTGCATGTTTTAATTCCGCAAATTATATTGTCACTGCTTATTTTGGGATTTTATCATGTTTAAGACTTAATACTTATTATTTTAATTGCTTAAAAAAATTGGGAATGTGTCGGCTGGCCTTGTCTTCACGAGAGACACCATCACGATCGGGTCCGGGTTTAGGATCGTAACAATATGTCTACTTATAACACAGTAGTTATGTTTTTATGCAGCTCCTTCTTGGTTCCAATGTGTCAATTGATGTGCAGGATCCATCATTTCTAGTGAGTTTAGCCGAAAACATTAATAAATTATAGAGGTTTTTTGAAACTAACTAACTAATTTATGCAGGGATATATAGATTCAAGTGTGATTATGGGGCAGAGTGGTGAGTTGAGGAAGTATGGAAATATAAAGTATATGAAGTGTAGACCTGAGAATGATTTTTTCCCAGATCTTTCCAAAATTGCAAGAACATATGTTATCTTCTTCTGCTCTCAAAACAATCCTTGGGAATTTTTAAGAAAAGATCTATATTTTTCCTGACCTATATTTTTCCATCTTTTCTTGAACCTATAAATTGGCATGGAACGTTATGCATTTGACTTAATACGTCAGTCCAAACTTAATGCATAAATTAAGTCCCAAATGGGATGAAATTGGTCAGTATTAAACAGCGTGGTACACATTCAATTGCATCTGGAGAGAAGAGAGGAGAGAAGAGAGAAAAAAGAAAGGGGTGTAACTAAATTCCTTGATTGAAGGCACAAATAATGAATTTGAGAGTCTTTTAAGGTGGATTGTATATATTTTGTAAACAAAACTTGTTTATGCCATGTAATTAACTAAACATGGATATATAGGGTAATAAAGTTTTTAATAGGCATATGAATGAAAAAATCCCCTTCCAAAATAACTTTATCTTGGGGAAATCGGGTTCAAGCCTATGTTCTGCCTGCGCGTTTTTCTTCCAAATTATTTTGTTTCTAGTTTTCCTAAGCGATCAATTGAACTCTTAAATAGTTACGTCACTTATTTTGATCTAATTCCGCAAATAACTCTAACAAAATTCATTAGAAAATACAAACGGGTGAAAACAGAACTTCATTGTTAATCGGTTAACATGTACTCAAACTTTAGTGGTTGTTTGTCTTGTGAAGTGAAAATTATCTTAATTGCGTTTGCCTTCATCCTACATGACTAGTTACGTTAAAATTATTCCCTGGCTAATCAATCAAAACAAAATAGATGAGCATATAATATCAATGTCAGGTTTTCATAACACAACTATATAAATGAACTAATAACGGTAGTAGTGTAAAGTGAGGAGGCTAGACTCTTTGTAATGGACTGATGAAGCATCAGGCCCACTCATTTTAAATCAGCAACAGATATCAACAGGATAGTGATAAGAAACGTAAAAACAGCACGGTCTAGTCAGTTTTCGGACTGGTCATTCAAAAATAGTCAGCGTTTACCAAGTCAATAAAAAATAGCCACTATTTTGCTGCAAAAGAGACTGGTCCAACATAATATACTGGAGTTCGGTGCACTTGTGTATGAAATTCCAGCATATTATGCTGGACCGGTAAACTTTGCTGGCTCCAGTATAATATACTGGAGACTGGAGCACCGGTGCTCCAAACTCCAGTATATTATGCTGGACCGGTAAACTTTGCTGGCTCCAGTATAATATACTGGAGACTGGAGCACCGGTGCTCCAAACTCCAGTATATTATGCTGGACCGGTATATTATGCTGGAGTATTTTTTCGAATTTTGAACAGTGTTTTTGTTCAAATTTATTTTTACATGAAAAGTGGCTAAATTTCAATTACTTTTGAATCTGGGCTATTTTTTAACGATCACTTGTAAATCTAGCTATTTTTGAATTTCTCCCAAAAACAGCATCTCAATTTGTTCGAACTTGGGCAGAGTTTAAGTTGAACTCCGTTGGCCCAAGTTGCTCATGCAAAAGGAGAGAAAATGCAATTAGTACTCGCATATAAGGAATAAAGGGAAAAAAATATAAAATAAATAATACATAATTGTAATCTTAAACAAACAAAGAAAGTTAGACTAACATTTGTGATAATCCTCCAAAGATTATTCAAAGTCAACAACTATTGACCTCTAGAGTAAATTATACCTCCTCGCAAGGTTTTCCTTTGATCCCTTAACACTTCATAGTTCACAAGGGTCTCAAGAAATCTGAGCAGTGTTTGTGCCAGGGAGGACCCCTTATAATTAGGTTATTATCTCCATAACAAATACCAATAGTTATTAATCCTTGTTCCTCTATGGAGACTTCAACACAAAAATCATTGACTTATAAGCTTAACAGACAAATTAACCAGCCAAACTCAATTACTCATCACAACTTGTAAGTTTCTATTTTAAGGTACAGGGAATTCAAAGTAATGCCTCAAATCATGTCAATAGAATAGTATTTGAAACTAAAGAACTCATTTAAGCAAAACAACACAGAACATGAAGATCATCTTCAGGAAACAAAACAATAGGCATAGCTCACTTAACTTCAGATTTCTATTGTTATCAACAAGCCAAACAAAGTCAAAGGTACATGGTGTAGAACAATGCTACCAGACATGGTCATGGGATCTCATGAACTCTTCAAAGGGCTTTTAAAGTCTAGAATATAACTTACAACCATTTACATGTAATGACACATATACTTCCTTCCATTAATATGGTCGTAGTCTTTTAGTTCGGGCGTCGCCAAGTGGACTTGCTTTTCCGAGTTATCCAGGCTTGCGTAAGATAACAGTCCTCGAGTGCGGATGGTTGTGGCCTTTAAAATTCGGGGGTTACCTAATACGTATTATGCCCCCGATGTTTGATAGCTTGAACCATTCAAGATTGTTTTCGGACGACAGTCCTCGAGGGAGAGAGAGATTGTTCGATCTCAAGTTAAAGCGGCCCTTGGGCTCGTTACCTTTATGGGATCGGAAGCACAAAATTTCTTAAGAAATGTAAATAAGAAATATTTAAAAGACAAGATGATTGCAAGGAAGATACTTCTCTTTATTCTAGTGCAAACCAGTTATACATGCATACATGCTTTATGTTAGGGCTCGAGCAATCTATGCGGGCACGGTTCGTTTGATCATTTGGCCCTTACAATAAATCCTACCTATCGAGACCCTTCCATCACGAAGTAATTTCCTTGCCTAAAGTCGATATTGGAGGGTAACGCCCCCTAGTATTCGAGGTTGATTATAGGGAGAAGCCTCGGATACTGTTGATGCGATCCTTAACACCGATTCATGGCCGGTCTTCTATTCTAAGTTAGCACGATCTACTGTTGCTCGTTAAAACCTTGCCGTAAAACCCATTTGGGACAAAACCGGTTCAAGGGAAAAAGAGTGCAATCCGTACTTTCAGACCTAAAACTTTGTACGGCTCCTTGTACGTCACCTGTAAATGTTAGTTTGAAATATAAATAAAAGGAAACGAATGGGGTCTGTCACACCTCCTTTTTACCGGAAAAGGATAGGGAATTTTTCAAATTAAAGTGACAATAATCGAAATGGAATTTTTTATTAGATTCAGAGTCCCCACTTGGGATAATTTATGGTGTCCCAAGTCACCGATTTATTTTAAATCCCAAATCGAGAAAATTGACTCTATTTATGGTCTTTGAAAATAGAAGACCGTGTAAGAAATTCTGTTAATCCGGGAGAAGGTGTTAGGTATTTTCGGGTTCCGTAGTTTTAGCACGGTCGCTTTAATCATACCTGGCTTAATTAATTTGTCTAATTACTTATTTTCGAACCTATGTGCATTTTAGCTCTTTTAATTAAGATATTATCCTAAAACGTGTCACACGTACGTGTACTCATTCGGTTTGGCGCGTCAAGAATCATGTCACGCTTACGTGTATACAATTCACAACACTTAATTATTTAAGAAAAACTTGGTCAAAGTTACGCGAACGCATATCTTGATTTATTTTGGGAAAAAAATCGAAATTATGTCACGCGAACGTGTACACAATCGCGATGATAGATTAAACCGCGCCTAAATCATTTCCTACAAATATTCATTTTAAAAACGTACTCGTGTCACACGAACGTGTGCACAATTAATAGCATTTTATTACTATTAAGATTGTTTCGCCCAAAGTTGCGCGAACAAATACTTCGACCTTAATTTTGGAACCCGTAATTATATCACGCAAATGTCAAAAATATCCGAAAGATTGCCTACCCAAGCGTGATCGGCCTAAAATATATTCGTAGCGATTCAACCCAAAAGAAAGAATAAGTAGTAATGAAATTATCTTGAGTCTAATCTCTTTTTAATTTTAGTCCAAAAGCCCACTGCCCTCTTAATTCCCATTGATTTCTAAGCCTATTTTCTCAATTCAACTAATAGTTTGCTCAATTGAAATTAGAGCAAATCCACATACCCATTTCTAGTCTTTGAAGAGAATTTCAAACAAACCCAGCATAATATTGCAATCAGATTCTCATTCAATATACTAATTCCAGATGTCTAATCATATAAGTACACGAATGAAAAGAACAACAACAAAATTTTTATTCAAATCCCAAACACACAAGGAAGAATATTGAAAAGTAATTAGGAACAAGGTTTAGAAATGGACCTCAAACAGAGTTGACGAACTCCGAAGCGAAACCGTGGACGAGCTGATCTCACCAAACCGAGCTCGGACTCACCTCAACAACATCACAGTCAAACTCCATATTTGGGAATCACAGTCCAAATCGGAAAGAAGAAACGCAGTCTATATTTTTTGGTTTGGATTTATTGGAATTTTAAGAAGACAAAGTGTTGGATTTGTGAAATCTCAACGTGAGCTAAACAAAGAATTAGAAGAATTCAATGTGAGCGAAACATCTTCCATTTCTTTTTAAGAACATATTTTAAAATTTGTGAGCTCAAAGCTATGAACCAATATGCACAAATTTATCAATCATTGCAGCTCAGTTAGGTCCTTCTCTTCAAGTGATGTGTCGCTGCTTGTTGCTCTCTTTATTTGTTAGGGATTTTGGAAATACAGTGAGTAATGGAACTAAAAAATAGGGATTCATTTACTAAATTTTAACTTGGGGAAGATAACTCATTTTTGGGAGTGTTTCAATTTTAAGAATTGGTTAGGCAGAGGTCTGTGTCGCTGGTGTTTTGGGAGTTGCGGCTAGAATGTTGAAGAGAGGTGGGGTGCGGCTGGGTTCTTTAGAATTAGGAAGTTTGGCTGCTTTTTCATGTCAAAATTAGAGTGAGAACGATGGAAATTTTTTCAGGGGGTGGGCAGTCGTTCTTCAGTCTTAGCTCTAGGGTTGGGGGGGTTATAATTAGATTTTTATATGGCATAGGGGAAAGATCTTGACCATAGAATTGAATTGAATAAATGGCTATGATTTAGAATGGGAGATGGGTCAGATGGGTTATAGATCTTGCGTTTATTGGGCTTAAGTATCTCAAAATTGTGCTAAATATGCTTGGGTTTTTTATAAATCTGAAAATCCTAGCCCAATCTAACTGTTCTAAAATATTAATGACCTTAGTTTAAATATAAAATCAGACAAAGTAAAATTATTTTTGGGCTTTTAATTATTTATTATATATATATTTTTCAAAAGTCTTAGTTAATATAAAATGGACTAAAATTCTAGAAAATTAAAGTTAACCTAAATAAATCCGTAAAAATACTAGGAATATTAAAAAAAATTACGCCGGTCAAAAATTAAGTGCTTACAGCTGCCCCTCTTTGCTTGAAAATACGAAGAGTTTTCGGAGCAAAGAACAATAAGCAACGTAATTGATTTATGACCCGACGCTTATTCAAAAGAAAAGAAAGATGGGTAAAAGATTATGACCGAGCCCTGGTATCTGAGCTACCTACATATCCTTGGCTATAAAGGTATCAGGCCACGTGTAGTTCAGAAGTGGATGAAGTAATGGAGTGTGTGGAGAGGATGAGAGAGTCGAGTGAGGTACTGTTTCGTCGAGGTTCCGGTCCGCGGTCGTGTTATTACATCAAAATCAAAATCTAAAAGAACTAAACAAGCCTATCAGCTATGAGTTACAAGATTCTTATCTATAAATCTTCTGAAGCTTTATCTTGAGTTTTGAATGGTTCTTCATGCAGACTTTGATTTGAACCTTGATGCTTGCTAGTTGTAGGTGCTGGTTCATTCTTCCACGGCTTCTTCGGATCAAGACCAGACATGTAGTGCTCGTGACTTAAGTCATATCTTGAGCAGTTCACATTTTTCATCTGCTTCTGCATTTTGGATTCATTTCTTTTTTTTCTTTTCTTTTATTCTGGATTGAGACTACTTTTGTTGGTCATCTCGGACCGTTGACTCGCATTCTTGAGGCGATCTTCAACTACTTCTAACTTGAATTGAATTCTAAAATGACTTCCCTTGTTCTTCAGGTGGGAGCCTGCTACTGGCTTGAAATTTGAAGTAACTCCGAAACAAATTCTCTCATTCTCCAGGTGGGTTCCTGCAATCAAAACAACAAAACAAACAAATTTTCTGCTCCGGTTTGCACTCGGAAGATTTGTGAGTTTGTAGCAAAAATGTAAACCACTTATGCTATTAATGCAATGATGAGAGTAAACTAAAGACTCTACTAGGATGTGCAACTCCTGTGAGTAAAACTAAGAAACTTTGACTAGCAAATGTGTCTGCTAAAAATAAAACCCGAATGATCCAAACTAGGAAATGCGTCTCCTAGGGAGGAAATCTCAATTTAGGAAGTGCGTCTCCTAAAAGTATATCCTGAAAGACCTAGACTAGGAAGTGCGTCTCCTAGGGATGAAACTTTAATAACTCAAACTAGGAAATGTGTCTTCTAGGAATGAACTTAAATGACCCAAAACTAGGAAGTCCGTCTCCTAGGGGTAAAATCTCAATTTAGGAAGTGAGTCTCCTAAAAGTGTATCCTAAAGACCCAAAATAGGACGTGTATCTCCTAGGGGTGAAACATGAATGAACCAAACCAGGAAGTGCATCTCCTAGGGCTAAACTTAAATGACCTAAACTAGGAAGTGCGTCTTCTAGGGGTAAAATCTCAATTTAGGAAGTGTGTCTCCTAAAAGTATATCCTGAAAAACCCAGACTAGGAAATGCATCTCCTAGGGGAGAAACTTCAATGACTCAAACTAGGAAGTGCCTCTCCTAGGAATGAACTTAAATGACCCAAACTAGGAAGTGTGTCTCCTAGGGGTAAAATCTCAATTTAGGAAGTGTGTATCCTAGAAGTATATCCTGAAAAACCCAGACTAGGAAGTGCGTCTCCTAGGAATAAATTTAAATGACCCAAACTAGGAAGTGTGTCTCCTAGGAATAAACTTAAATGACCCAAACTAGGAAGTTCATCTCTTAGGGGTGAAATCTCAATTTAAGAAGTGCGTCTCCTAAAAGTATATCCTGAAAAACCCAAACTAGGAAGTGCGTCTCCCAGGGGTAAAATCTCAATTTAGGAAGTGAGTCTCCTAAAACAAAATATAACTTGAAAGACCCATACTAGGACGTGCGTCTCCTAGGGTTAAAACTTCAATGACTCAAACTAGGAAGTGCATTTCCTAGAAATAAACTTAAATGTCCCAAACTAGGAAATGCGTCTCTTAGAGGTGATATCTCAATATAGGAAGTGCGTCTCCCAAAACAAAAATATAACCTGAAATACCTAGACTAGAAAGTGCGTCTCCTAGGGGTGAAACTTGAATGAACCAAACTAGGAAGTGCGTCTCCTAGGGATAAAACTCAATTTAGGAAGTGCGTCTCCTAAAACAAAATATAACCCGAAAGACCCAGACTAGGAAGTGCGTCTCCTAGGGGTGATGTGTGATCTTCTCAATAGCCTTTGTGTAAGTAGAATTGGGGCATTACACCTGAAAAATTCAAGCTTCCAAGATTTGATATGAACATAGCCTTCATCCTTATTTCAAACAAAGAAAACTTGTGAGTTTAAAACATGGTAGTTAGTTTGTGGACTTGACCTTGAAGGTGATTGTTTCTACACTTGCCATGATAACTTTGATTTAAACTTGGAAGACCTTGATTGTTATTGGCTAACCACTTTCTCTGTCAACCTTTATCACAGAAAACACCTCTGATTCGTTCAGGCCCAATACCCTCTATATATTGCATTGTGCTTATGAATTGACATTTACCAAACCTTTGCATTTCACATGAATTCCAAAGCACATCAATTGTTATCAACTCAGTGCGCATGCCACTTTCCTGACTTATACCGCTTTGATGTGCTAGCCAGATTCCGTTTTGTGCAATTGAAAATCTAGTAAAAAATTTGAAATCATTTCTCACTTGTTCTGATCAAACGGACTCAAAAGTGGACGTGAACAATGAAAAAGGAACAAAGTAAGGGGCAATGGAAAGGGATGATATCTAACTAGAAAATTACAAAGTAGAAACTTATCTGATGTGGATACCAACTCTAATGGCCATGACATGAACTTTTGGATTAAGTGGCCTAATCTATCAAGCAAGTCTAATATTCAACTCTTGTTGTACCTCTTCGCCGTGAAATTGGGCTTCAATGCTCCAATTATCCTATCTGATCCACGATCCTTATTCGACTTGTAGTGCCCGAAGGGTTTTCACCATTAAGCCTCTATCATTTTTCCTTTCTCTCAACTCCCCGTCGCCTTATGGTTCCTATAAAGGTTTTCACCGATAAGACTCTCTTATTTTTTCTTTTCTTCTTATTTCCTCTGATTCTGCAGATGACAAGGCATTAACCACGATAGAAATATCATATGCTCCTGGCATGTCTGACTCAGCACTCTCAAAGATTATCTGGAAGGTCTTTTAGACTGTAATATGGCTTTTGGACAGTATTAGAAATAAGGGATATCATAAAGGCTCAAAATAACTAAGACAATAGGGTTAATTTATCTACAACTTTTGGAATCAATTATAAAAACTTACCCTAATTTCTAAAACAAGGAAATTTGATTCTTTTTTTTTCTTTTTTTTTGAGATGAAATTTCTAAGAAAGACTGTCCCACTCTCGACTTCGTGGGATTATGAAATATTTTATTTGGTGCGACCGAATCTTAAGGCTGCCTACATATCTTGTGGTAACAAGAATCGAGTCGAACGTAGTTCAAAAGAATACTTTTTGTTACTATTTTTCTTTTTCTTTTTTTTTCTTTTTCCTTCTTTTTTTCGTTATCTCTTTTTTTTCCTTTTGGAATGAACTTTCTAAAACAAACCTATGGGGACATGAACTTTTTTCTTATGACTCTAAATTGATTCCAAAAGAGGGGAGGTCAAAGAAATTAGCACAGGCTCAAAAGGATATTCAAGGGTATAAAGTGTTTGGGTAGCTGAAAGATGGCCTCCCAATCTCTGAAAATGCCAAGTACAATACCTGCAACTTGATGATGAAAATTGAAGATCATGCACAATATTTCTTTTACAGCTTCGGCATTGATATCACTCATATGTCTTCCACTTCTTTTTAAGTGCCTTGTTAAGTACATAGCTCTTGTTGGGTGATTTCTTCTTCACGATGGATACCCTCCGTCTGTTTGAAGAAAATTCCCTTGGCTTTATCTCGTAACTTGAGATGCACTTAAACTCAAAGTTGTTCGCTTCAAATTGTCTAGGATGCACTCTCCTTTAATGAATTCTTGTCATCCTATTAACTTTCTAAATTATCTGCCCCAGTTTCACACAGTTCAGGATTTAAATGATCTCAAAATGTCCAAATCTATACTTATTTCCCTCAAACGTCCCTATCATCTTTAAAATTATTTATTGCTTCATAATTAGACTAACATTTAAGACCATGCCTAGAATTATACGTGCATGTCATGTCACTAGAGCCAGCATGAAATGAACTATAAAAGGAAAAGAGAACTAAACAAAACTGACTAGAAATAACAGATAACAGGAAATTGTATTAGACAGATGGTAAAAGGGTTTGAACCAAAAAACAAGCAAAATAAACTGGGTTACAACCCTGGAACAAAACTAGATAACACTAAATGAGTTACTATGACTAAACGAACTAGGCAAAACAAAAGGATAGAAGGGTTTGAGTCACAAGACCATATCCGGATTACAACCCTGAAATAACCCGAACAACAGAAATGATAACAAAATAAACCACCAAGACTCCTCCCCGGCTAGATAAGAAAAGAGCATCTTTCTAATTACCAAGCTCGACATCTTAGCCACTGAGTTCCATATCAATATTACCAAGACTATTACAAATTTCAATATCATTAACTTCAGTCAGCAAGTTCTCAAGAGGATTCTCATACTCTATGTCACCACGCATCA